CAGGTCCATGATAGATCAGCAAGTCTGTGAGTGAGCCATGATTTGAGCCTGTCCCATCTGACAAGTCCCCTATTTTGCTACCTCTTTTGTCCTAAAAATAGAGGGTGCAAGATCTTCTACTTTGAAGTCCTCGATAATCATACAGCTCATTTTTGGTGTACATTAAAAAAAAGTGAAACATTATCTGGTTACTTACGTACTTAATGTGCTAAGCCTTCTTCTGGAAAAAGCAGGTAGAGAAGAGAAAGCAGATTCCTAAATAAAAATGTTCTCCTTCTCTGTCCACACCAGATACAGTAAATGGAATAATATACCATTTGCCTCACAATCTTTTGTGGAGGAGTAAAATTAATTTCAAACCACTAAGTCTGAAAAATCCCCGGAGAGCTGCATTGCTCTGTGTTTTGTGTCAAATCTTTCGTTTGACCTCCAGAGCCTACTAAGGAGTTCAGGTAAAAACAAAACAAAACAAAACCCCCCCCAAAAAAACAGGACAGTGATGCATCTGTGTGGCTGTGAGCTGGCTGCTGATTTCTCCGGATCTCAGTGCATATCAGTAAGTAGGTGAGTAGACAGGGAATACAGCCTGGGTGTGGGGGCAAGATAGCAATTTTTATTTCCACGCACAAGTCAACTTGCTTCGTGTCAACAGAAAACTGCTTGAGGACCTGCTCTGTGTCTCCACCTTTTTGTTTGGCTGGAGAGAGATTCCAGCAGCAGGCAGCAGATGCCATGAAGTGCCTTTGATTTCTTCTCCAGACTATTGGGGCATGCATGTTTGCTGGACAGTAAACATTGTTTTTAATGATATAGTTGTATTTTCCAATGCAGCAAGAAAGCCTATTTATGATTTTAGCCCCAAGAAGCAAAGAAAATTGTTTCCTTTTTTGTGGAAGGAGGAGGAGGAGAGAAAGAGGAAGAGGAAGAAAAAGAAGAGGAAGAGGAAGAAGAACAAGAGGAAGAGGAAGAAGAGGAAGAAGAAGAAGAAGAGGAAGAAGAAGAAGAAGAAGAAGAAGAAGAAGAAGAAGAAGAAGAAGAAGAAGAAGAAGAAGAAGAAGAAGAAGAAGGAGAAGAAGGAGAAGAAGGAGAAGAAGAAGAAGAAAAGTACCATTACAAAATCTTGACTGATTCAGGTGAAGAAGAAGAAGAAAGAAGAAAGAAGAAGAAGAAAAGTACCATTACAAAATCCTGACTGATTAGGCCAAGCAAGGAAGATATACTTCAGGTTTTGTGGTAGATATACTGCAGGCTTTCCTAAGGCTAGGGAAATGGAATACCCAAATGTAGCTTTATTTAGGATTGCCATAGGTTCCATGAGCTTGCTTTCTGTTCATCAAAGGAAAACTTGCCTTTTGAAGGAATGTGGTGCACACGCTCTTAATATAACATGAAAGGAAAGGTTCTTTGTGCCAAGAAGTCACTCATGTGAGATGGAATTCTTTTAAACAAATCTGGTGGCAAGCTTTTTTTGGAAGCTTGAAGGAAGAATGAAATGACTTAAAATTTTGTTCGTGGCAGTCACCCTCAACCCTTCGAATGGAGTTAGCAAAGTCAGTCTAAAAACACAAACTCAGCCCTTGCAGCTCTTATTTCGTGCAGCCAAAATGGTGTGCAAAACCTGTTCTGGCTAATTTGGATAGCTTTCCAATGGTGGTGATGATTTTTAGATTTATGGCAAGTTTTAGATCTAACTAGAGACACAGCACATTTGGAAAAACGAGGCATGAGTACTCCTGGCCTGGGAGTAACTGGCCCATGCCTCCCAGAGTAATGATGTTCTGAGTTCAGAACTACAAAGGTAGGCAGTTCAGCATTGAGGGAAACAGTCTCCTTTGGAGGTTTTTGTTTTCCCTACAGCCAAGGACTGAACTTTTTTTTTTTTTTTAAGATTTTTATTTATTTATTTGACAGAGAGAGACACAGCGAGAGAGGGAACACAAGCAGGGGGAGTGGGAGAGGGAGAAGCAGGCTTTCCGCGGAGCAGGGAGCCCGATGTGGGGCTCGATCCCAGGACCCCAGGATCATGACTTGAGCCGAAGGCAGACACTTAACAACTGAGCCACCCAGGCGCCCCGATCTTCTTTCCTTTATTATGTTTGGCTCCGTACCTTTTTCTTTTCTTTCTTTTTTTTTTTTTTTTTAAGATTTTATTTATTTGACAGAGAGAGCACAAGCAGAGGGAGAGAGAGGGAGAAGCAGGTTCCCTGCTGAGCAAGGAGCCCGATGTGGGACTCGATCCCAGGACCCTGGGATCATGACCTGGGCCGAAGGCAGCTGCTTGACCGACTGAGCCACCCAGGCGTCCCTCCGTACCTTTTTCTTAACCAGTGGCCCCATTTACAAGTAACGTTTTGCTTGGGGCATCTTGATGCTGTTGGAAGCACCCAAACTTGCAGCCTTCTGTTCCCAAGCCTCAGGAAAAGTCCACTGGTCTTCATATTTGCAAGTTTTTCCCATCCGTGAACATTCCTCTTTAACATGGAAACACACTGTTTCCATCTCAGCCCTGCTTGCTTGACCTTCCATATCATTGATGATTTGTAGACACAAAGAAGGCACGCGGCCTCTGCATTCTTTTTTCCAATGTGGGTCTTTTCTCCATTTGGAGAAATGGTGGCCTGTCGTTTGTGAAGCCCCTCTGACCTTGACCTTTGGAGGGAATTCAACCAAGGCAAGAACTCAGCCAAGAAATTAAACTATCAAAATTCTGAAGAGTGTACAAAACACAATATCAGGGCATCTATCTTCCCAAATGAGGGCGCAAATAGTTACTTCCCTCAGCAACCCCTGAAAGTTACTTCCCTCAACAACACAAGCATGGCAGGCAATATGAGGATGTTATTACTTTTTTATTTTTCTTTTTAATCAGGAATCTCCTAGGGTGAAAAAAAAGTAATTATTTTGTTCACATGGGAAGTGGTAGCCATCCTAAGTCCCCCTTTCTCTCATTCTTTTTTCTTTTTCTGACTCAGTAGAACACAATTGTTTGAAGTTTGTTTGCATCTGCTGTCATAAAGGGCAGAGTTTAGCCCTCTACCCAAACACATGAGAATTGTTTGTAGATTTATGACAAACCCTAGACCTGCCTATGGTAAAGAATGTGTATTTATTTCAATATGAGAGGCAATCCCTTGAGAGCATTGTGTGGGAACCATGCTGTTTAAATATTTTTATGCTGGAAAGCCTGTCTTTTTCAAATCATTCTTGGCTTCCAGCCCTGGAGAGTGAAGCTTCATCTGGAGGGGCAGGAGAAAAATACTGGGTTAGAAATCAAGAGATGTAAAGTCCTAGCTCCATCTCTGCTGCGGATTTGCTTTGTCATCTTGAGCACATCATTTTCCCTCCCTCTACACCTTGGTGGAATGATGAGTGGAATGATGTGGTTGAACTGAGGCAGTGCATTTGCACTTCCTTTTTTTACTTTATGTTTTTCACAGCAGTGTCCTCTTTTCAAATGTAATCTTACACAAACTCTAGTACATAATATAGATAAAAGCTATATTTTATTATATCATTTATGAATTTTAAATTATAACCTTTATTAAGAAGTTAGGCAATGAGGATGCCATTTTGGTGTTCGTAGATGATTGAAATGGGAGTTGTAGTAGTTTCCTGGGGCTGCCGTCACAAACTACCACAAACCAGTGGCTTTAAACAACAGAAGTTTATTCTCACATAGTTCTGGAGGCTAGAAATCCAAAATCAAGGTGCTGGCAGGGCCATGCTCCCAGTGAAGTCTCCAGGGCAGGATCCTTCCTTGCTTCTTGCAGCGTCTGGTAGCCCCTTGGCCCTCCTTGGCTTGAGGTAAACTAACTCCCACCTGCCTGATCATCTTCCCATGGCCGCCTTCCCTCTGTGTGCGGCTCTGTGTCTTCACCTGGCGTTCTCCTCTCATATCTGATTTCTCTTCTTATAAGGACACCAATCTTTGCGTTAAGAGAGTAGAACGTTATCTTAACTTGATTACATCTGCAAAACTGTATTTTTAAATACCGTCACATTCACAGGTACCGGGGGTTAGAATTTCAACATATCATTTTGGGGAAGAGTTATAGAATATAGTATATAGTTATATTAATGTAAGTATTTATTTATTTTGTTTAGTAGCACAGTATTGAGAAAAATACTGGTCCACACTAATTGTAATTTTTTTTTCACATGTCACCTTGCAATCCCAATCTCCATCTCTTCACTTACACTGATCCAGAGGTCTCAAAGGGCCACATTAGGAAATTGACATATCACCGTTAAATTACTGAAAATATCCAGAAAAGACTCACCTTTCTTAACCAATGAGGATTCACTTTTTTTTTTTTTTAAAGATTTTATTCATTTATTTGACAGAGAGAGGCAGTGAGAGAGGGAACACAAGCAGGGGGAGTGGGAGAGGGAGAAGCAGGCTTCCCGCGGAGCAGGGAGCCCGATGTGGGGCTCGATCCCAGGACCCTGAGACCATGACCTGAGCCGAAGGCAGACGCCCAACGACTGAGCCACCCAGGTGCCCCAAGTGTTCACTTTTTAAAAGGACTTGATGATTGGATTCCTGAGGTCACTTAAATCATCACTGTATTTGGCTGACACTATGTTTTCAAATGTCATAAAACCCTGAGTTATTCAGTGGTGCCATCTCAAAACATCTCCTTAGTGGCATGTTCTGACATTCCCTTAAAATTGCAAAAGAGTAAAAATAGTGTTACATTGTATTGAGTCTAAATTTGGTTTCAGTTTTGTTGCTGACACTTTCTCTGCCACTGTGAGCAGGAATGGAACGTCGGGACGTGAACTACCAGCATGAACCCATTCAGCTGGTTAAAAATAGCATCTAGATACTCCAGCTGGTTACAACTAAATCACATTTGAGAGATGTTTAATTAATGGAGGTTTTTATTTATTTATTTTTATTTTTATTTTTATTTTTTTTTAAAGATTTTATTTATTTATTTGATAGAGAGAGACACAGCGAGAGAGGGAACACAAGCAGGGGGAGTGGGAGAGGGAGAAGCAGGCTTCCCGCGGAGCAGGGAGCCCGATGCGGGGCTCGATCCCAGGACCCTGGGATCATGACCTGAGCCGAAGGCAGACGCTTAATGACTGAGCCACCCAGGCGCCCCTGGAGGTTTTTATTTTTAAAGCACAGAAGTTATTTACATTTTAATTTGAAATATCTGTAGCAGAACCTTATCTTGGAACTAAAAACTTCAATGTAAAAACATACATTCTGGAACTTACCATCCTTATCATTAAAATAACTGAAAAGTCCCCAGTTTAAAGACTAATGCCTTAATAAATTTGACAATTTTTACAGCTTATCAAACTTCTTTCGCAATGCCGGGTAGACAACTATTTGGCACATGTACGATGACCACAAGCATATTTCAGCCACTGCTTTTATCCGAGCAATTCTTTTTATGTCATCAGAGTAGATACATTTTTTGACAAGTTATTCAATGATATATTATAATCTAATCTAAAAACCTAATTTTTTTTCTCCAGTTGTGTATTATCTAGTAAGTCTTCCTTGTGTTCATTTTATAAAAAGTAATCTCTGCTCCCGACGTGGGGCTCGAAGTCACAACCCCAAGATCAAGAGTCGCATGCAGGCTCCACTGACTGAGCCAGCCAGGTGCTCCCTGTTTTTGGTTGTTGTTTTAATTTTATTTATTTATTTGAGAGAGAGTGAGAGAGAGAGAGAGAGATCACCAGCAGGGGGAGGGGTAGAGGAAGAAGCAGACTCCCCACTGAGCAGCGAGCCCGAGGTGGGGCTCGATCCCAGGACCCTGGGGCCATGACCTGAGCCTAAGGCAGATGCTTAACTGACCGAGCCAGCCACATACCCCGGTGTTTTTAGAGTATTCCTTGTGTTCATTTGTGTGACTCTGTATAAAAACAAGCAAAACACAGACAACTGAAAATCCGTATTTTCATTTATCTGAATCTTAAAACCTGAACTTCGAAGGAATCCAGCAGATATGTACTTTGTGTATTTGGGGGTTAGATCCGTGATGGGAACCAGCATCGGTATGGGCCCTCAAAGGTATTTGGAAATATGTGGGGGCAGTTTTGGTTGTCTCAGTACCTAAAGGCACACCTGACACTTGGTTTCCTCCAGCCAAGGAAGCTAAGTGACTCACACTTGTCTCACTTGAAATGCCGGCAGAAAAGAAGGGGGATTATGTTTTTGTAAATATCTTCTTATTTAACGTAACTTGGACTTCAACAAGCTCTTTTGGGTAGAATTTGTCTTTTCCTCATTTGTAACTTTGGATGGGCCTGTTAAGGAGTTTTCATTGTCAGATTTCAATTTTGTTCATATAAAATTTTAGTTGATGACACTAAGTAGTTCAATTAATCAGGAATGTCTGAGTTGCTTATTTTTTGGAACCTTTGTGTTTTGTTGCAAAATCATGTAATTTAGCCAGACTAAAGATTGGAAGATTTCACTGCATGAATTATAGGAAGTTGAGCAATTTTGGTCTCACTAAAACGAGACTGGGTGACTGCTCTCATTGTACTTTCTTGCCTTTACAAGATTTCATGTGAAACATATATAGGCACTTATTTTCATTTCATTGACCATTCATTAAATATCACTTAGTGTCAAATTGGCCCGTTTCATGATGAGACACAATCTTATTTATTTATCGTATTTTCTCATTAAAGTTAATTTTTAAACTAATGACTCATTTCTACTTTTAAAGGTAATTCATCTCACTAGAAATTAAAAAAAAAATTTTAAACAAAAAGTAGCTTAAATAATTATCATGACATGTGTTACTTGTTTGCTGCAAGGTTTTCTGCGTCTTCCTGATGAGCAAGCACGGGGCAGAAGCATCTGAGCCGCATCAGGCATTTGACGGATTTGATTAATGTGTGCTGAGGTAAGTCTACTCCCCTGTGTAATTGTATGGGAGAGGCCACACGCAAGTCTGAATTAAAAAAAAAAAAAAAAAAAAGACTGGTGCAGAATTACTAGCTATTCAGGGTATTATATGTGTTTCAAAGATAGCTTAAAAAAAAAAAAGCTATAGGTCAAGGTCAGCATAAAAACGAGGAAACCTGAGTAAAAGTTAATATGATGGTGGTCTCCAGTGTTTCCAAAGTTGGTGTTTTTAATGACACTTTAAAAATAGTTACAATGTATAATGGCTGATTCCCGCCTGCCTGGGCTCTCAGCCTGCCTAAAGGTCTTGCTTGGTCTAGTCCAAGCTAGTTAAATCCTTTTCTTTTTCCTCTGTCTGATCTCGTCATGTCTATGTGGCTTCAGTTTAAACAATTCTGGTGGAGACCCTTCTCAAGATTTTCTCCTTTCCCCTCATCCAGGTTCTGATCTTAAACTCCCAGGGGCTGACATTATCATTGTTTGAAATCGCGGAGGAGGGGACACTTCATTTCTTGGTCTTTCCTCGGCTTATTTTACTGGGGAGTGGATGGCAAATTTGCCTGTATTTATTTAATTTGCACCAAACAACTTGGCAGAAATGATGGCTCTCAAATTTAGCTGCGTTCTCTTTTACTTATGTCAGGAGGTCCATGCTCTACCTTTGTTTTTGTTTTTTAAGTTTTATTTAAGTAATTTCTACATGCAACATGGGGCTCGAACTCACGACCCCAAGATCAAGAGTTGCAAGCTCTTACAACTGAGCCAGCCAGGTGCCCCCATGCCTTACCTTTGTCATGTGTGTACCTTTGCCCTGCAGATGGCCTCCAGGCAGGTGGACATCCATGCCTACCCACATGGGGCCCATGGAAACTTCTGGATCTCCTCCATCCCCTTAGGAGCTGCAGGGAAACCCAGGGGTTTGTTTCTAGCTCCTCTTTGATATAGATATGCCTTATTGCCTTCTCTACTCCCTTGCTCCCTTAGAACCCAGAGTGCTCTATATGCTGTGACTTTCCAAATACTCACATTTGGAGCTGAACACATGTTCTGTTTACTTTGGGATTTCCCAGTTAAAGGTCCATAAAGTCTTCTCTGGTAACTGACCCGTGAGCTGCCACTATGCTTCTCTAAAACTCTCCTTTTCCTTTCTTCTGTTGAGAGCTTTTTTTTAAATCTATTTGTGGCAAAGGGTGGAGGGAGTGGTGGAATATCCATTCTCCCGGTTTGGATCTACTTTTTGTAATATTTTGTTGTCTTATCCGGGGAAAGGTGGGGGAGGCAATTTCCTTGTGACCTTAGAGATGAAGAATGCCCTCTTGTAGGTTTCCTCCTGTCTTTCTGGCCCATCTAAACCTTGTGGGCTTGTCTTTCTATATCCTTTAAATATTGGTAATTTTTAGTATTCTATCTGGGGCTCTCTTCCTGACACACTTACATGTTTCCCCCTCAATAAGTTCATCCACTTGCATTGTTTCAAGTATTATCCTTACGTTGACAATTCCATCCTTTTTTCTCCTGAGCTTCAGACCTATATGTCCACCTAATCTTTTAGTATTTCCATTTGGTTATCCAGTCCAGATCTAAACCCATTTTCTTCCCCAGTAGACACCCCCCTTTTTAATGCACATGGCAAGTCTTATTCCTGCCCTCAAGAGTCAGATTCAGTCAATCAGGGGGTTGGTGGATTTTCCTCTGAGTTCCTGTCTTCATGAATAGTACTTTGTCCAAAGCCAAGCTTGAACAGTAGGTAAGCTTTTATTCTAATATCTTGAAGAATATCAAGATTTACTAACACGCATACTGTGTTTTAGCCATGCACATTTTCTCCAATCAAGTGAGGAAGAATAGAGGAGAGGCTTAACCAATGTCTACTAATTTACAATTACAGTCTCAAGTTAAATATTTTTAAGACCCAGATGTTAACCAGGATAATGGATGATCAGCAGGACTATTGTCCTGCTGACAAATTGAGTTAATGTACTCTTTATGGCCAGAATTCTATTGTCTATAGATTGTTTGGAAAATTGTTAATCCATCTTTCAGTGGATTTCAGGAGATGTGGCCTAAAGATTTGTTGTGGTGATTTCTGGGGAGATTTTGAATCTAAACCCAAGGTACCTGTCCAATAGTCAGGTCCACTATAATTCCAATGAAATATTCTCTAAGAAAGAAGAGTCTTTTATGCTAGAGTAAAATGATGTTAAATGGCACTTTTTCTTTTGTCTTGGGTTTTGGCTGAGGTCCCAGAACTGGGTTTTATGGTATTATGGTTATTAAAATCCCACATTAAAGAGATACGCTGGACCCATTTATCAAAATTCGTTGGAGAGAGAAAGGTTATTCAAAGGATTCTGTAGTAGAGTTTTGTGGAATTTTACCTCCCTGGCCCTTATAGAGGAAGAGTCTTTATTATGGGTCCTTTAAGCTATGTGATGGGAGGGTTTGGAACCACTGCCACAGGGACTGAACCAAAAGGCAATAATATCACAGTTAGGGGAATCTGGCATGATTTCTCTGGAGTCCTTCTCCCTGGGGGAGAGAGACTGGTGTGTGGGGTTGGGAAGTTGGACTGGATGAATAAATTTTAAATTGGATACATAGAGAGTTTTAAAAAATAAACACTTTATTTTATTTTATTTATTTTTATTTATTTATTTATTTAAAAAATTTTTTTTAAGATTTTATTTATTTGTGAGAGAGAATGAGAGACAGCATGAGAGGGAGGAGGGTCAGAGGGAGAAGCAGACTCCCCGCCGAGCAGGGAGCCCGATGCGGGACTCGATCCCGGGACTCCAGGATCATGACCTGAGCCGAAGGCAGCCGCTTAACCAACTGAGCCACCCAGGTGCCCTAAACACTTTATTTTAGAGTAGTTTTAGATTTAGCAAAATAATTGTGAAAGGCTTTCAGAGAGTTCTCATATATCCCACATTCACTTTCCCCTTATCAACATCTTTTATTAGTATGATAGAGTTATCACAAACAATGAACCAGTTTTTTCAGTTTTTCCCTGAACTATTCAGAAAGATGTATAGGAAAAAATAAAGAGGCAAAACATATATAATAGAATAAAAGATACACAAGAAATCCAGTAAACATATAACATGAGTTTTATCTTTTATTTTCCATCCCACTATTATACAGTTTGTCCTGCAGCTAGGAACTTATATAAACCACAAATATTGAAGAATATTTCTCTAACATAGCTGACAGAATTGTTGGTGTGAACAATTTGTTGCATGTATGTTAAACCATTGTTTAATAGGTCACCCATTAATTAGAGTGTTAACTATTTAAAGAAAATTCATAAAAAATTAAAAGTGGTGTGCTTATCTAAATATGATTCTTTTTCTTTTTAGGGATACAAATAAAACTTTTGTACAATCAAAGTAAAAGAAACAAAATGGCACATATGTATGGTAAGTGATTGATTAAAGCCTGATACCAAAAAAAATTTTTTTTTAAAAATATTTTATTATTTATTTGACAGAGAGAGACACAGAGAGAGAGGGAACACAAGCAGGGGCAGTGGGAGAGAGAGAAGCAGGCTTCCCGCGGAGCAGGGAGCCCGATGCGGGGCTCGATCCCAGGACCCTGGGATCATGACCTGAGCCGAAGGCAGACGCTTAACGACTGAGCCACCCAGGCGCCCCTCAAAAATATTTTTAAAGAAAAATATTTTTAAAGATTTTATTTATTTAGAGAAAGAGACAGTGCGTGCACGTGCACACGCATGAGTGGGGGGAAGGGGAGAGGGAGAGAGAGAATCTCAAGCCGACTCCCTGCCAAGTGTGGAGCCTGTTGTGGGGCTCAATCCCACAACCCCAAGATCATGACTGGACCCGAAATCAAGAGTCGGATGCTCAACCAACTGAGCCACCCAGGCGCCCCTAAAGAAAAATATTTTTAAAGAAATTGTTAAGTTCACAATGGAAAAAATGGATGATGGCTGTGATAGAGAAAATTGCATAAAATGATATACAAATATTAATTTAACAGTTACAAATTGTTGACAGGAAAACAAGGTAAGAATAATATAAACAAAAGTTAAAAAAATTATTGATAATATTTTGGAGGAAGTGGCAAATCATCATTTCTTGGGAGAATTATTAACTGGTTCAACCTTCTTGAAGAGCAATTTGGCAATGAGCCACAGAAATTTTAGACTTTGTTTTCCGGTAATTGTAATTCTGAGAATTTATTCTATAGAAATAATTCCGAAGAATAAATGAACTGTGCTTAGAGAGATTATCTTAGTCTCTCTATATATTATAGAAAAAAGTTCTACATCAAAAAGGTTGGGGGTACCTGGCTCAGTTGGTAGAGCATACAACTCTGGACCTAAGGGTTTTGTGAGTTCTGACTCCATGTTGTGTGTAGAGATTACTTAAAAATAAAATCTTTTTTTAAAAAGGAGGAAATTAAATAATTTATATTCTGATAACTTAATGGACTATTTTGCAATCATTAGAAATAATAGTTATGGGGGGCGCCTGGGTGGCTCAGTCGTTAAGCGTCTGCCTTTGGCTCAGGTCATGATCCCAGGGTCCTGGGATCGAGCCCCACGTCGGGCTCCCTGCTCCACGGGAAGCCTGCTTCTCCCTCTCCCACTCCTGCTGCTTGTGTTCCCTCTCTTGCTATCAAATAAATAAAATCTTTAAAAAAAAATAATAGTTTTGGAGACTGTGTGTATGTGTATATATATATATATATATATATATACATATATATATATTTTAAGATTTTATTTTTAAGTAATCTCTACACCCAACAGGGAACTCAAAACTTACAATCCTGAGATCAAGAGTCACATGCTCCACCAACTGAGCCAGCCAGGTACCCCTTTATATGTTTTATATACAAAGAACAAAAGACTTGTATGTATATAGCAAACGAATTTAAAGTAAAAAAAAATTAAAAGATAATTTTTTTTAAAGATTTTATTTATTTATTTGAGAGAGAGAATGAGAGAGAGCACATGAGAGGGGGGAAGGTCAGAGGGAGAAGCAGACTCCCTGCCGAGCAGGGAGCCCGATGCAGGACTGGATCCAGGGACTCCAGGATCATGACCTGAGCCGAAGGCAGTCGCTTAACCAACTGAGCCACCCAGGCGCCCCAAAAGATAATTTTTTATCAATGAAGATTAAGTTTATGTAAAAACAATACATTTTGAAAGGGTCATAGAAATGTAATCAGTAGGGCTTACATAAATTGGTTATCAGTATAATTTTTTAGAAGACATTTTAATACTAAAACTGTCATTAAAAAGATTTATTACTTTGATATTAATGCGTGCTTTTTTTGGTGCAAAAAGGTGGTTTTATTAAAGCATGGGGACAGGCTCTGTGGGCAGAAAAAGCTGCCATTAATGCATATTTTTAAAAAGATAAATTGAAGGAGATATTTTCTTCCTGAGAAGAACAAATAGGTATTCTGATGTCAACAGATATGATAGTGTCTTATTAATAGCTGTCCAAATAGCGAACAAAACCTAAAATGCTTTTATTTAATTCTTTTTCCTTTTGTTTAATCCATGCATATTTCAGAGAAAAGTTCACCCAAACCTCAGATCCATCTTTTAATTCATAAGAATGCTGATTTGGAAAATGTAATGTCTGTGTCCAACGATCTTATTTATTAGATATTCAGTGTTCTCATGTTTTGCTGACAGAAATCACAATTACACTTCTACGATTCCAGTTGGGAAACCAGGCCTCCTGTCATCTGATAAAAAGTGCCTTGACACTTGTAAAGGCATAATGCGCTAGTTACAAGTTTATTGAGTTTTTATGAAGAGAAAAGGGTCAGAGCAAGTTACATAAGTAGGTCTCATGTGAAAAAAGATTCTAAAATCTAGAAACCAAGAAAAATAGAAGTTATAAAACACAACTCATTAAGGCCTAAGAAGAATGAAGGGGTAGGTTTTTCAAGACCTTTAAATGGTGAATTGAGTCTTAATTTTGGCTTAATTAACAATTCATATCAAATATTTACTTCTTTTCCAAGGAAAGGGACCAAAGCAAAATATGCAGTTTGTTCAAAGCTCATAGTCTTTTTACTATGGTGCAAAGAATAGTAACATAATTACCAAAAGATAACTGTATCATCCTCTTAAGCATTTATATTTTTCCCTAAATTTTGATACTTTGGGAGGCAAAGCTGAATAGGTAAATTGAATATTTGTGTAATATGACACATGGTGACATTTAAACTGAAATATTGAATTTCGTTAAGTTTGTTTAAGAACTGGCAATGGGGGCATCTGGGTGGCACAGTCGGTTGAGTGACTGACCTTTTGTTGTGGCTCAGGTTGTGATCTCAGGGTTGTGAGATGGAGCCCGACGTCATGCTCTATGCTCAGTGTGGAGTCTGTTTCGGACTCTCTCTCCCTCTTCCTCTGCCCCTCCCCACTGGACTCTGTCTCTCGGTCTAGGATAAATAAATCTTTTTTTTTTTATTTAAAGATTTTATTTATTTATTTGACACAGAGAGAGAGAGAGAGAGAGCAGAAGCACAAGCAGGGGGAGTGGGAGGGGAGAAGCAGGCTTACCGCTGAGCAGGGAGCTGGATGCGGGGCTCGATCCCAGGACCCTGGGATCATGACCTGAGCCGAAGGCAGAGGCTTAACGACTGAGCCACCCAGGCGCCCCTAAATAAATAAATCTTAAAAAAAAGAACTTGCAATGGTCTGAAAGTGAAAAGGTCACTATTCTCCCTTTTATGTCCCATTTGTTCATGTAAAATAAAATCAAATTTCTGTTGTCAAATGTTTTTCCTCCTAAGATTTATGTATTTTATGCATGTATGTATGTATGTATGTATGTGTTTAAGTAGGCTCCACACCCAGCATGGAGCCCAAAGCAGGGCTTGAACTGACGACCCCAAGATCAAGACCTGATAAAGACCTGAGCTGACATCAAGAGTTGGACATTTAGCTGACTGAGCCACCCAGGTGCCCCAATATTCACTTTAAAAGACGATTCAGTTTAAAAGACTGGTTTATGCTTCCAAAGAATAAGATAGTTGTCACAGAAATCAAGATGAGCAGATGATGGCATGTTTGCCCATCTGCTTGAGAATTAATCATCAAAAATTTTTGAGAAAAAAAGTGCCTCTTTCAAGGGTCCTTCAAAGGGTAAAGGGTTGATTTCCTGGACCTCTCCATGTTGGGTAGCTCTAGTTTGGATTGCCACTGACAGTACAGCTGTGTTAAGGCTTCACTTCCCATGAGCATTCTCCTCACCTTGGAAACAACATATGGTCTCCAGACCTCCTTGCCACCTGAAAAATGACTCTGAACAACAGCCAGATCTTTCCTGTTCTTTATAGAATTTTTTTTAAATGAATATTTCTTTCTCCAACACCAGCCTTTTCTCTTGTGAAGTTTTATATGAAGAGAGACATTCTCTAAATCATTTGTCTGAGTAAATTTATCAAAAATCACTTCATACATACCACATAGTCATAGAAATATCTTCTCAGAAACTCTATATTAACATCTAAGAAATTGCTTCCTCTGCTCTTTTTCAAAAGAATAAAACAGGATTTTATATCATGTTCAAGAGTAATTCTGAAATGTAACTGTGATTTGGAGAACACAGGTCTGTTCAACCATTCTGTTGGAAGGCCTCAACAGATTTGGAAGGCAGGAGAAATTGGTTTTAGAATTATCTCTTCATGAACTTCCTGTGTGGCCTACATTTTCTCTCCTGGAGTCTCCTGATCTTGGAGTCAGGCATCCCTCAAAAGTCTCATCTTATTACAACATTGGCTCAGATTTTGGTATTTCTTTCTTTCTTCTTTTTTTAAAAAATTATTTATTTGATGTACTGTTCCATGATTCATTGTTTACATATAACACCCAGTGCTTCATTCAATACATGCCCTCCTTAATACCCATTTGATTAGGTTCAAATGTGCTCTGGACTGAATGTATGCCCTCCAAATTCCTGTGTTGAAATACAGTCCCCAAAGTGATGGGATTTGGAGCTGGGGCATTTGAGAGGTAATTAAGTCATGAGGGTGGAGCCCACATGAATTGGATTAGTGCCTCCGTAAGAATAGGCCAGAGAGCTAGCTTGCCCTCATTCAGCCATGGGAGGATGCAATGAGAAGTCAGTCGTCTGAAACCCAGAAGAGGGCCCTCCGCAGGACCTGATCCTGCTGGCATCCTGATCGTGGGCTTCTAGCCTCTGGAACTGTGAGAAATAGATCTCTGTTGTTGTTAAGCCACCTAGTTTATAGTGTTTTGTTATAGCAGCCTGAGCTAAAGCAAGGTGTGGCTGGGATTCCTTGGTGTAGTTCCTTAGAAGGAAAGCCATGTTAAAAAAAAAAAAAGTTGTCTGACACTCATGTATCCAGCAAATAATAATGGCAGAGGGATAAGATAACCCATGAGACAACCCTGTTCAAAAAGGGG